TGCAACTGTTCATTCTTTCTCCTCTGGCAGAAGGTACCGTTGCCACTGCAGTGGCAATGGAATTAACCATGCAAATGGTCCTCAGCCATGAAATCAAGATCAGCCAGAAAGCTACCAAGAATAGTGTTGCCATCAAACATTACTTCAGAGATCATCAGGAAGGCTTATAGAGTCTGCCCCACCAGTTGTTTGAAATTAAAGCATGAGAATTGCTTCATAATATTACTTTGTGCAACTGTGCCTACATTACTTTCTTCTTCATGAGATCTTTATCGCTCTTGGTGTTCCCTGTGAATCAGTAGGGACAAGTGTGCTTACTTTTATCAAATAAAATAAACACAAGAGGATCAGACTCCTGCACAACACATAGAAATGAGCTGCAAAGCCAGAGCCTTCCTCCCATTCCAAATCCACCCTATCCCCAAGCTCCGCCATGCTTCACTTTCTCACTCTAAATCTCATGTTTATCCAAACATCAGTCCTCTACCTCCAAAATGGAAAGGAACAGAACATGACTTATGCATAATTTTTGTCATTTTAAAATATATTGTGCAGCTTTTAGTGATTGCTAGAAAAATCAGTTACCACAAAGAAAAAAAACTAGTAAATACTTCTAAAGCTAGCAATCTGTTAAAAAAATCTAAATGTTTTTGAAACAGTTGGCACCATCTGTTTATTAAAAAAATATTACTGTAGTTAGCATAGGCATTGCTTAACTCACCACATCAGCAAATAAGTAAAAAAACCCATCAATTTCTATTTCAATAAAATTTTGCCAGAGAGAAATAGACTCTGCAATGGTAATGTGTAACTACACTTGATAACGTTCTTTAGCTCTTTATTTCATTATTTCTCAACAGCTCACAGGTACTCACAAAATACTTAGCCACAAACCACATTTAATTCCCCAAACTCTGTGGTGAAAGACAAGTAAACACATTACAAACTGGGCATCTGCTTACCCAAGACTAACACATGGCATTTGTAATTTTGCCAGTTCCGTTACTAACGTATCCAAACAGATGCCAGAGGAAGTAATCCAAAGACTTTTCAGGCAATGGGAATGAACTTGCCTTATTCAGAAGCAAAGCATTAAAATCACCTCATGGATGACAGCAACATAAAACCATGGTGCTAAGCTTTACAGTGCATAGGAGGGGGAAAAAGAAATGTTAAGGCAATAATACAGATGCTCAGAACTAGAAATAGGAGCCTCTCATACACATTGTCAGCTGTTAACCCGCTTCTCTTGCCCAAGTGCATAATATACACTTTCGGTGACAAAACAGCTGGGCACCATCGGTCCTGCTTCTCTCAGCAACCCTAAATATTAAACTCACCAGCAGCCACTGGGTCCTCTACGAGCTCTTTGATCTATCAGATGATTTTGGTTTTGTTATTATAATAATCAAACCTCAACCACTGACCAAGCCAGATTGCTTTCCTAAACACATACTCACAGTCTATTCATTAAGGGTTACAACAACCTAGAACATCTGAGAAAATGGGAAAACCTACCTAAAACAGATAGTCTAGATGTGCTTGAGGAATATGGTGCAGACACATCCACGGATGTGCGATTCCCCGAGGTCTGAAATCATGATGTTGGCACTGCACCGCGTAAGTCTTGTGTGACTCGCTGTGCTGGAGACTGCAGTTCAGCAGATTTCATGCACAGCCATCGGTGTCCATCAGGACCAGAGTCTGAGGGAACATGCCTAAGCAAACCTGTGGTGTCATCATCCTGCTCAGGATGCCAAATCCAGGAAAACCTTCTTTGTTCAAGCTCAACATTCCAGGAATATTTCTGTATGCCAACTAGTCCTCAAAACAGCTTACATGTCACTGCACCTAAGCTAATCAACCATAGCAACTAATAAAATTAGCTAATAAGGCTTGCCAGAACTGACTACACGTCTATGGCCTGACTTGCTCACCAGATAAAACCCTGGGGCAGTGGTGGCAGAGTGGGAGGTCACTAGACTGTAAGCAACATTTTATTTTAATCTTTCAGATTTCACGCTTGATCAGATTAGTCATAGGGTTCCTGCAGCCTTTTGTTCCTAGCCATAAGAATATAAAAAAAAAATGTTCCCAATATAATGTGACTATAGGGAATTCATATATTGCACCAACATGGTAAACATTCCACAAATTCAACAGATGATACCAATAAGGAGATGACAGCACTCCATATTAATACACTCAGGACTGTGAGGGATGTCATCACCTGGATGTAACTATGAGGACAGAGAACAATGATATAAAACAGCTCCAGTGTAAAACGTAGCTGACTCTGCTGACCCATGGCATCAGCTACCAAGGCTGCTCCAAACATCTAAATGAACAAAAATTACCGAACTTTGTTGTAAGTCCAGACACTGCTCACTGGCCTGAGCCTAGGAAAACACAAAGGAATAATGAAAAAAGCTGTCCATTGAAGGGACACTAAACACTGTCTGGAGGTGAAGGTGCATTTTCAGAAAGCACAGGGTTCAATTTTACTGACACTTTTGAGCAGGTGGGAGCAGCTTTGGAGGTCAGCCTTTATGAACATATGAACAAAGATCAGCCTTTGCATCACAGCCACTGCATTTCAACAAACCTTTTTTTTTTGTTTCCCTTTGAGATTGCTGGTACATGAAAACTAACTCATTCTCTCCTCTGTAATTTAATTTGCTTTTTTGAGGGTGTATGTTTTCCATTTGAAAGAATCATACTCAAAATGTCAGAGAATTTACAGACTAGTAATGCAACGTGGAAGAGAAGCTATCTAGAAAAAGGGAGAAAACATTTGAATTTTTGAGTATGTGACAGATGAATAAGTCACATCACTGAATTTTGCACGAAGCATAATTTCAAAAATATCACTTTTCATTTCACTATATTTTTAAAGAAAAGCCTGATAATGCATCAAAACAGCTTAAAATTAAAAAAAAAAGTTTAAAAATAATTAAAAAAGACAATTTTAGTTCTAAAGGAACTTCTAATGAAAAATAACAGTGGAGACATTTTATTTGGTACTTCTGTCAATGATTCCATAGTAACTTTGGAAAAGAAGTACTCTTTATAAATATAAAATAGACCAAAAAAGCTGTGGAAAAAGAATATAATACACATTCAAAAGTTTACCTTTTTGACTCCTGGTAATAACATTCTGTCTTCTATGCAGATGCTGCCTATATATATGGGATCCCAGTAAATCAAGCGCATTTGACCTACCGAGCTTAATGTGACTGTAAGTGAATCTCAGAGACAGAAATGCAGGACGTATGATGCTGCAGGCCTGATTGATAACTAAGAAGTCAGTTATAAATAAATCTGGAACAGTTGGGATTGACTGTTGTGTAGCACTTTCAGACAGACGTTCAGGGCAACTGGCAGGGGCTTTGAAAGCTGTTTCCTATATTAGAATCGTGACAAAAATAGAAGTGAGGCTGCATTCCCTTGTCTTCTGCTAAAATAGATCTTACTCAAAAACATTTTTGCAAGTTTGGCGAGGCATAAGAAGTCCACTGATCAGATGCAGAACAAAATCATAATTGGAAGTGCCATGTTGATCTACCCTGAATAGTTACTTATTGATTTAAGGAAAAAACAAATATTTCAAAAAAAAAAAAAAAAAGTGGAGAGTACTAGGAGATATTAGGGACAAGGAAAAGCTGGTTTTACCATTTACTTTTTTTTTAAAACTTGTAAGTGAAGGTACAATCAGAACTCACTAGCCAGAAAGACCCTAAAGACCTTTAAAACAAAAAGGGAAAAATCATATATTTCACCAACTGACCTTAGTGGGGCGAGGTTTGAGGTACAGGGTGTTTTGCTCCTGTTTTTTGTGCTTTGGTTTTCTGTTATTGTTTATTTTCAAATATAAGAACAGATGTTGCATAATAACTACTGACAGCAAGGCTGAGTTGTGAGAATGGAACAGAAAAGAGGGAGTCTGTATGGGCTTTTGTTCTGTTTTTAAGTGCCCCAAATACTGTTTACAGGGCAAGCATTTGTCACAGAGTTCTCTCACCTCCAGCACTTAACCTTATAGATAAATTAAGTTGGCTTTTATTTTTGTATTTGTTTTACAGTCAAAATATATCTTTCAAAATATTGTAGCGTTAGCTAGTTCACTGGCTGAGCAGCCCACTGTTCTGCCCAAATAATCAGTGGCCTTAATGAGAAATTAAGAGCTTTCAGGGTCAGTGACAACAGAAAATCTTAACGTTTAGATCATAAGCTCCGTGTATAACTTCATGCTGCTGTTTCAGATCACAAGTGAACTCCCAACCTATATGCAAGGGGCACTCCCTCATAGGAGGGAGTGGGATACACTTGATTTAGCCAAGTAACTCTCCCAAACCAGTTTCCCCATAAACTCTTCCTTCTCTGCCAAAACAGGTCTGCATAGTATTTTGCTGACAGATGAGAAGTTGCCCCACCTGCACACACGCTCTAAACCACCCTGAACCAAATCAGCTTCAACCTAGAAACTCTGCGAGCACAGTGCAGGGCGCCCACCTGCCGTCCCTCCCTGCACAGAGCCCCTTGCTGCGCTCAGCACCCACAGAGCCCCGACGCTGACCTTGTGGCTTCGAGCAGGATCACAGCTTCTTGGGTCAGAACACACCCAAAGCACACTCAGGCTTCTCGGCACAACACGGTCCCTGCCAATCCATCAGTGACTTCCAGCGATTCCTAGAGTTTCTACGATACACAAACTGCAACAGAAATAGCCAGAGCACTAGGAAATTTCTGCAACTAGCCTTCTAAAGTAAGCCTACTGTAAATTAAGGCACAGCTCAAGGACTTGCTGAAGAAGTACGCACAGAGGACCACATCTCAGTCACCAAACTTTTTTCTGTCATGACAACTGCTGAAAATACACTTGTTCAAAGAGAGAAAATTTGTCATGAAGAGTTAAATCTTTACTTCATCATGGATTGCTACATCGCAGACAGTTTCCTTTTACCAGAGCAGCCTGCATAAATGTATTTTAAACTAATTACCTTTAGGTGGAAAATAGGACTTGCTTTCAGCTTTGTGAGGCCAGTCCACCACGAGAGGTCCAAACCTACGAAAGCTGGCAGTGATCTCATCTACAAAAAATAAATGAGGCACCTTAGAGAGAATCTGAAGACAGACAGTGGCAAGTTAAAATTTTTACTTTGAATATTTTCTACACCTATTAAGGACAGTGACAACTGCAATAATGTACATAAAGGATGCCTACATATTCTTTCACCTCTATGCTTGAAAAAGTAATTTTATATCCTACTAATGGAAGTTTGCAGCAGGATTAAATGCAAACATCATCTACCAGAAGTGAATATGCTTCAGCTGCAGTCTAATTATAGCCACAAAGCAGGATCAGATACAGCCACATGGGACTTATGGAGGAGCTGCATGTCTGAACAGCCACTCCTTGTGGCGTGCCCTAGAAAGCAGGCTGCACCAGCTCATGCGACTGTGGGGATTTCACCTTCCCCAGTCCTCTCTGGAAATCTGCCTTGGATTACCAAGTTATTTCCTTGCTTTTTAAGCATCAGTTTAGAAACACGGTGGAATAGACATCTCAGACTATCCTAAAGGACAAATTTGTTTTACATGCAAATGCTTCAAAAAAAAAAAGTATTTTAAGTTGTTTTTAAAAAAAAATCTTTTTTTTCTCAATTCATGTACTTTAAAGAAAGGATTAGTTTAAAATTGTCTAATGTGATGCTAGATACATCAGAGCAACAGCCCATCAGGAAAAAAGTTTGAAGAAAAAGACAGTGATTTTCCAATTTTTTGATTGCTCTTTGAGATGTGTCCAGTTTATTGGATCCCATGAAGTGCAAGTCAGATTTTTGGAGCAACAAGAACCACAAAACACACACTGCACAAGTCAGAAGCTGAAGGAAAAAGGTGTTACTGAAGTAGACCTCACATGGAAGAGAGTAGCAGCTCCCAAGTGGCCACATTACTGCCTCACAGGATAGGCTGGGCACGTGTTTTGATTCTGAGTGAACGTTCTCATCAGTTTTACCTGTCGGCCTGCTTCTTACTGTGGGACATTCAGGTTACCCAGCAGACCCTGTGTATATGAACAGTCCTGGAACTCATGATGTGACATGGAAACTGTATTTGAGCTGTTTGCAAACCACTGACTGGCAACACATACTATTTCTTTATTAAAATTGCACGTGGTTTTGCTGTCAGTTTAGTAGATCAGATTCAGAGATCCCTCTCTTTTCATTATAAGGTATCCTCAAATCCCCCATGTATGCCACCTGAGGCTAGAAAGTGGTGGATTCCATCTGTAATATGAAAAATACACTAAAAACTGCTGATTTTGGTTTGGGAGTCAGGTTGTGTGGGAGCACACACAAGTAGAGCAGATATCAAAAAATAAAACATCCCTACTAAGCTGGTTATTATTTTGCAATCCTATCAATTGCCCTACATTTGTCAACTGAGCACTGCGTGTATGCTGGATCTAAGAGCTGATTAATTAAAGTCTGATTTATTTTGGTAAGGACTGTATTAACAAAGTCCTTAAAATCAACCAGATCTTTAAAAAAGAACAGGAAAGACTACGGCAGAGTGCCAGTACCCACTAAATTCCCCTTTTTAGCATTCCCACTTTATGTAAGTGGAATGCATGCTGCTGCTGCCAATTAGAAGACTTGCTATGCAGGCATTTCTGTCTTCATCTCTCCTGATCTATGGTACAAAAGAACGTCAAGTAAATTCTTAGGTGTTGCATGGGGTGGTGGTGCTTGTTTTAAAGAATGCTACAAGCACTACAAGTGACATACCTGGGAAAATACATTTGTTTTTAGGAAAATGCAATCTTTTCAAAGTAATTATATGAAATCCAATTGCCACATCTTACCAGTGTAACTTATTCACAGTACCTTCATCAATGTCAGGAGGAAGACCTCCAACAAACACCTTTCTAGAATAGCGTTCCACTCTTTCACCATTCTGACAGCGTGTTGGAGAGCTGAGACCTGATGACAAAGACTGATCACCATGACTGTCGTCTAGGAAGCCATCTTCAAAAGGAAAAAGTGAAGACCGACCTGTAACAGATTTTTTAGTATCAATAGTTAACACTATTTCCTGGACAATTAAGTATTTCAGTTAAAAAAGTTTTATTTTCCTCTTACTGTTTTGCTTTAACAGAATTTGCATAAAGCACCCAGCTAAGTGGTCCAGTCATCCAAATGATGTTTGTAAGTATTGCTTCCATTTTTTTTAAGACAATAAACCTAATTTAGCTTTAAACAAACCCTTGCAAAAGGCTAGCAATGAAAAGCAACAAGTTATCTGATGAAACTGTGTGTCATAGCTATAGAAAGAACCTCTCTAAGATTTACATTTCAAACTGATTCTTAGAGATTTAAATCTTCCATAACAGATCTTGAAGGAACAATCTTAAAGACAAGACCCTTCAAGCCACTGCACTGCAGAGCAGGACAGTCTCCTTCAGTGCTTTACAGGGTCCTAACCAGAAGGGCTGCATCACTTCCTTCTCAAGTGAACAGAGACCCAGTGTGAGTAGGGGGGCAAACAGCAAAATAAGCACAGAAACGCTTTGCATTGTGGATATTAGACACATAAGTTAAGCAAGAAGCTTAGCTAACAACAACAAAAAAATCTTTAAAATCTTATTTAATAAGCCACAGAAAACCTGCACTTGAAGAAAAAAATTTTAGCTTAGACAGGACTGCCTGTCAAGGTGTTATTCAGTGTTAAAACACCCTTTCAGTAATGAATTAACAAAAAGCAACATAAATGGCTTCTACTCAGTTTGTTAATGAAAAGTATTTATTTGTGATCATGTGATGCAATTAACTTGTTGCTATAACTACCAAAGTATACACACATTATCTTAAGAACAGATTTATTAATGCGGAAGATAATGAAATATTCAAATTCTGTACGTAGGCAGCGCTGTAGAAATGGCAACTTTAGAATGCAAATCATTCCCTATATATTAAGTTGAAAAATAAATCCTGCAATGTAGAGAGATGTGTAAGTGGGAACTCTGTCTGAACTTTGAAAAGGCTAATTGTCCCCTCATATCATGAAGGACTGCTCCTAGAGATGGAGTTATAATTAATGGATACAAACAGTTTATAGAGGGGGTTATTATAAATATAAATAGTAGGGCACGTAATTAAATTAAAAGGTAATGGATCACATGAAGCTGACCTCTAGCAGGACCTAAAGAAGAATTAATACCATACTGGTATTAGCAGCATAGTAAAGTACAGGAAATAGAAGCAGGGGCAAGGAGAAAAATGAAGACATGCAGAGGGACACTAGTCTGCAAAATGTATACACTGAAAATATCACTAATAGTTTCCAGTAGTAAAGGACAGATTACACAAAGAAGAAGCAATCCTATATATGGAAGACAAGCTACAAACAAAAACCAGGCTGGAACACCAGCCTGGTTTTTTATGAACATCAGGCACTAGAAAAGTCTTGATTAGAATATATTGAAAGCACAGCACTGAGAGAAATCACAGATACAAAAATCCACCAAAGCAAAAATCCTGATGTGCTTTTAATCACCAACATAAAAAACCAAAGTAAAAGCCACAGTCAGAGAAGGATTTAGAGATGCAATTCCTGAAAGTCTAGGTTGTCAGAAAATGTGAGTTTAGATCATAAAACAGGAAAGACTATCAATGAGTATTCTGCCAAAGGACAACCAGGTCGTGCACAGATATAAATATATGCATTTCAGCGTAGAAGAGAATACATGCATAAGAGAAATAACAATTAGGAAGGCTAAAATTGTGTAAAAATACCAAATCAGAAATTCAAAAGCAGAAAATTTGAAAATATCCATAAGAGAATGACATTACTACGAAGTTAAACAACCTTAACAGCTCCCAACCTACCTTCTTTAAAAAAAAAAAAGCAACAAATAACAAACGAGCCATTAGTGGAAGCTGATGTATCAACACAGGTCTACAGAGAAGGCTGAATAAGTGCTGAGTTGTGAAGGAAATAATAAAAACACACAGCAGCTTATAAAGCAAGATATCACCTCTAATGTCAGATGCTTGACAGTCTGCAAACATTGTACTCAACCGAGTGCAAAAGAATATCTAAAGCTTCATAGTTAGGTATAGAGTTAAATGTATGTAGTATACATTAAAGTAATGGAGGCCTACAGACAAGGGAATGGGGAATGACTGTTCACTGTCTCTTCCAGCAAGGGGAAAGTGAAGTGCACTGAACACAATCAGTACGTGGCCAGGCTGAAAGCAAGTCAAACTGTGGAACCCTTTGCCTCAGGCTTTTCACAATGCTGAGAAGTTTATGTAAGTTCAGAAAAGGGAATGAGCAGGAACAGAAGAAAAATTCATTCTGAAGCAATAAATATTGACACATCACCTCAAGAAATCCCCAGAGGCAAATCTCTAGGACAGTATGGGAAAGCGTCACTAAATGCCTGATTTTTATGCCCCTGTGCCCCTCCCCTGGCATCTCTTGAGTTGTCAGCATAGCAACAGACTTCGGGCTCATTTCCCATAGCTGTGCTTTTCCCTGGTACCTGAAAAACTGGTTGTAAAACTTAAAAACAAGGTGCCTAAAAGAACATGACTCAACAGCTCTAAGCATGACACCCTCAAAGAAACGCTCACCTCTACTCAAAACACAGGATCAAGTAGACAACTGATCATGGCAAGAAGATTATGATTATGGCAACTGATTAAGGCAAGTAGAGAACTAGTTCTGACAAGCCCCAAGAAATCTTTGACAAAACCCTCTTTTCACTGAAGATGCTTAGTCACAGTAACAGAATCAAACACTAATTAAAATATCCAAGTACACTAAACACGGAATGAGTCCCTGCACAGATTTGCCTCTGGGTACTCTGCATATCGCCACAATGCAAATGGTAAAAAAAAAAAAAAAAAAAAAAAAAAAAAAAAGGATATGAGAACATTTGATAAACAACACTTTTTTTTGTTTTAACAGACCATTGTAGAATTTCATGTTTCTTAAGGTTAAGAAAGCTCAAAACAACATTATAAAATTCATATTGAAAAGGCATGAACATCACAAACTAATATTGTATGAATAAGGCAAGTCGCAAAATCCCTAACATTAATGACAAGACACATGCATACACACACACACACACAAATCTGCTTTTTACTGTCGAAAAGCCTGAATTTCACATAGGAAGCAATTATTATGGAGTGAAACATGGGTGTTGATAGAGTAAAAAAAAAAAAAGTAAAAATCTGGAAGTCCAGTACATTCAAAACTTGTTTGTTCTGTTTTGCAGTCACTACAATTTGTATAAAACAGACTACACCGTATTTATCACAATGGCCACCACATTACTGTATTTCACTTCTACAAGTAAACATGAGTGGCAAGAAGTTAATAGTGTCCAACTGACACCCACCTCCTTCCTCACTTTGGTGCCGCCTGATCAGTCTGGAAATACTTGCCACAAGCTTAAAATGAAATTAAACAGTGTTCACGTGCACAGAGTATACAGTACTACACACTCTGCATACTTTCCAATCTGTTTCAGTACCATGAGAGCTCTGAAAAATTTAAGTATTAGGATGCTTTCCACATCTGTTAAAAACAGCCTGTTAGTAAGTTTGTGGGGAAAACTTGAAACTTATCTCTTTGTTTAGCTATCAACTGAACGTTAAAGCCAGTCGTCTTTGAACAGTATCAGTTCAAACTGTGTATTATAAGCTGTGTTTGTGCAGCCTGTACAGCCTACTGCCTCAGTCCACATGTATGTGCAATCTACAGGTTACTTCTACACTCTCAGCCTGCTTGTATGGCAGGGTTTGTCTCCAAGCTTCTTCACTAATGTGATGCAAATTCTACACTTTGAAAAGGAAGCAATGTCCCTTGCAGAGCTGTCAGAGAACATACATAACAAAGAAAATCAAATGAAGCTTAATGCCAAAGTACCCCAATGCAGATGGCACTGCCCAACTCTTAACTGTTAAAAGCTGCAGTCTTCGCTGTTATTTTATCAATAAAAACAAGTCTGTGTAAGCCATAGCACAGTATATAAATGTAAGCTACATTAGTAGCTTTCTTGGCAGCCAGTGACCTTGTTACTGTCCATGTTCATTAATCTCTCAGAATAAACTTATATGCAGCACTGTGCAATAGTAAAATGTTTTCAGTCTGCTTTTATTTTCTAAGGGTTGCCTATGATGAAATTAAGTTAAAATGTACTCTATTATTACCATCATCATCAATATTCACTGTTAAGGACAGTTATTAGCATTGGTATTAACAATGTTCTACCCAAGGCAATCCAATATAATACTCAAATGTAATATTCCATAAAAGGTGTTTCATCTAAGAAAAAAAGGATTTTTGAAATGTTCAATGCACTACTTAAACACTGCACTTCTGCCAAAAAAAAACCAACAAACCCAACCCACAAACCAAGAAAACTGCAGCTCATACTTGAAAACATTTTTTTTTTATACTATGCATTTAAAATCATAAATATGTGTCATGGAAGAGTTTTTCCTTTCAGTCATCCTCTAGTTCACAAGTAATAGCAACACACTTGAAGTTACCAGCTCAAGACCATCATTACTTTAAACTGCTATTCAAAGGGAGATGTTTTGCGAAAGAAAATAAGACTGATTTATGTGAAGCAATTGATCAACCAAATAATGTTAAGATTGGTAACAGCATCTTATAATAAGAGAACTAAATATTTATTTCTCCCACTATTCAGCAAACAAAACATTTAGTAAATACTTTTACCTCTTCTCCGCCCATAGCTCCTGGCTGCATGTAAACACAGAAGAAAATTGTCGGTACAGCTGTCATTAGATTTAGCTCCAAAAGCAAAGAAAATGTAGCTTCTACCTCTTCTCTTTTTCCCCTCCCACCACAAAGAAAGAAAAGACGTTCAAAAAGTGCAAGATGAAATTCAAACAACCCAAGACAAAAGAAAAGAGTTGAAGATGACACAGCCTGCGGGGAAGAGCAGGGGAAGGAACATACCTGCTGTGAAAGTTTTCTACATAGCAAAAGTATTTAAAAAATAAGGCATATC